AAGTGCAATCTACTAAAATTGAAGTCAGCGTGCCACTTCACACTTGAGCTAAATCAGCAGATACCATAGAAGCGTATGAATGATTACGTATTTAGATGTTGTGACAGAGATTAATTATATGCTCGGGGTAAGAAAGTGCTCATTATAGTTTAACAAATTAACTAGCATTCTAACAGTCATGTTTTACTGGCAGACGTAGGCATTCCCTCAGGCAATATTTGGAGTATTTTGGATGCATAACTGCAATCCGCCACGAACTTTTTTAACAAATAAACGTTCATATTCCTACAGGGTCACGTGTTGGGGATGTAGCACAATGAACTAGTGTAGGCGTCTCACCAGCGCCAGTTACTGGGCTGATGCAGGCCAGCGAATGCCATCCTGCCGTCGAAGAGCCGACCGAAAACTTTACCGAATAACGTCTACGTTTAGAAATAGTATGGTTCGTTCTTCTTTCCCCCGCGTATATACATAATCATTTCCGATATGGTTATTGCAGTTGTGTAGATCTGCCCTACCTGGTTCCATATTAGAGATCAGTATACTCATGATACGGGGGATAATGAAGGACAATCTGGCCTCCGTATCGGACAGGTGACTTAAGCAAAGTACAGCTGGAATCGGATTAAGTCACGGGACTGTAGATGGATGGTAAGGAATATGCAGTAGCGCTTGCTGTATGGAATTTCTAGAGGAAGTACCCCAGTTTAAAAGGTCATGGGATCTGAGTACAACTTGATGCGACCATGGGCAGCTGAAGGGAGTTTAATGCGGGACAGAGAAGGAAGAAAGGGTAAGCAGTTGCCATGTTCAGTACATGACCGAATGTGGTCACTTCGAGCAGGCGAATGACAGAGCTCTTCTCTCCTCTTGACAAAGGGCTGCTATCAAAAAGTGCGTGTTGAGGGACAGTACTGTCGTAACAGACGAGCGGAAACGATGTGCCCGCCTACCGTGTGAAGAGCAGGAACAGTACACCAGACGTCACCACTGCATCTTAATACCATACTGGCCATTGTGGGCTAGTGTCAGGTGGGGCGGTGTGGACCTGGTCATAGTTCGAAGTCAGGACAGACGGCCCCCGACCCCCCAGCGACCTGGAGAAATGTCCTCAGTTAGACAGCCGATGCTCATCCGATGGAGCAAATTACACCACAGACAGCTGCCAAAGAATCATCACAGTAGATAGAACCGCCTAAGATAACCGACAGACGAGGGCTAAAAAAACTGGCGGCAAACTCGGGCGGCTCTCAGAGGATTTATTTGTAGATAGCTATACCTGCTAATCATGCCCCCGGCCCCACAACGTTCTTTGCATTATTATCTACATGCGAAGAGCAGTGGAATATATGTATGTGCCAAAGTGAGTGGCTACATCCGACCCGCATATCACCATGACCTAAATCGCCTCCACCCTCATCGGTCGCTAAGATATGTGACGGCTCCGAATGTGCCTCGCCGTGACTGTCCCCGACAAGAAGTCTCGTCAAAACCTGTGGTTTCTATAAAATATATTTGAATTTCAAAGACAATCGAAAATCAATGGGAAAAATACATGCTACATCAGTCATGCTGCCGACTCCAACCCATTTTATAAGGGCATTTTGGTCGAATTAAAACCTAAAATTCATTCATGTCAATAAAACTTAACCTGTCCTGATGCGCTCAAAACACCTTTCAAAAATTTATGCGAAGGGTAGAAGAAAAAGAAGAAATATTGTCCAGTTGTCATTTCTATTAAGGACAGATGGAAGCTTTGAATTACGCCTCCAATGAGACGGCTATTTAGTTGTTGTTTAAGAGCACACCAAAAATCGGAATTATTGAAAGAAACAGGCTGCATTTGAACTGTTGCAATGAGCCGGATGTTTTGTTCATTTTCGGCCATTTGAGAAAATGTGTGGGATACATCAAGGGGCGTGCAGCGTGGTAGGCCACAAATTTGTAGGTTTCTTTTTTCCCAACGTTATCTGCCAGAGAAAACACTAGGTTTTCTGTCTCCATACGTCCTGTTACTCTCATGATCTTATAGGTCACACCGTCGGCTTGTTCTTAAATGGAAAGTAAAATTAATCATCTCCGTCAGATCTTGAGCATCGCAACGTAGAGCGCAACTTACCAAAGGGGATAATTATTTTCAGCCCCTTTCTGCTTGAAGACGACCCATATCTGCTAATATTTCCCAGCAGCCTGATCTCCTTGAAAAAAAAGATAATTGGTTCATTTAACATTTTGCGCTTCAATCATGATCGTGACAGATGAATAAGCAAGTCAAATGTAAATCTCAAAAAATATTTAAGCATAATTGAACTGAGTGTGGTCTTTGGTACCTTTATATTTTCATCCATGACAACAGAAACTGGTCTCGCATAGCCCGGTTGTGCGACAATGGGTATTATGTAATGGACACCGGGGATCTCTGACAAAATAAGATAAATGTGATTTGTGAAATTTAAATGACATATGTTTGGGGTAGACGTAATTCAGATTTCACGAATTAGTTTAAAATTTGGACTATATACCTGCGAAGAAATCCGTTTCGTTCACTACGACGATCGCGATTTTTGCCTTTTTGGGATTTTCGGGTATGAGAATAACCGCAGAGTAGCTTTCGTAAGTTCCGTCATTGATCAGAAAACTTCTTCTTCCTTTGTCAGAAAATAGTACAACAGTTATCTTTCCCAAATATTAGAAGTCACAATTTGGAGAGTGCCATAAGTGATCTGAGCATCGATCGGAAATCGACCGCATTTAATTGCCTTTGTCTCGTGGGTGTGTGTCTGTTTGTGTTTGCGAATTTGAAGGCACAAAATGTAAAAGGCTCAACAACTCACTTGAATAGAATTCTACACATTTAGTCGGAGGTTCGCAGGGATGCGTTGGTGTACGATGCGTAAATCCTGATTCCGAAGAATTGAACTGCACGGAGAAAACCACAGGAATATTTCGAATTTCCAGTTTTTAGTAAAATACATTTCGACATTTTACATACCCGGAAGGATGCTGGAACTTCGTAAGCAAGGTCAATGTTGGTATGTGGCTTTACATGTAGTCTGAATCCAACTGCAAATGAGGAGGGAATTGTCAGAAATTGTCGACTTACAGCAGCTACAAAATTGGACATTGAGCAAGATCAGGGCAATAGTTGCAGTCACGAACATCATTGAATCACGGATGATGCAGGCCATGTGCGGTAGTTGGGATGGAAATAACTGTTTCTGCCTCATTTAGCGGACCTATGAATTTATTTACGCCATGCTAATGAAGGGTCCAGTTCACTATCCAACAGGTGACCTCGCCCTTGAGAATCAGACTGTTTTCATTGGGAGTTATGTTTTTGTATTGTACATTATTTTGACGGTTGTTTTGTTCGCGTTTTTGCCTGTGCAGGCGTCGACATTGCACCACACAATGCAATCAGTCATTTACCTGGGTCGCTGCCTCGCGCACAGACACAGGAGAACTTTTGTCCGTGTTTTGTTAAGTAACACTTGGCGCCAGCTTATGCACCTTCATCTTGGTTCTGAATGTTTTTGGAAACTAACTGATGAGAGATACCATGTCACATGCTTTGTAAAATTATCCCGCAGTTGGGATTCTTGGCTGTTTTTACAGGTCTGGAGTCCCACTTTTGCAAAGCGTTTCGATTTTGCCTTGGGTTTTTGGTATGCTTATTTTGACAAGGTTTTTAGGGCTTGCGTTAGGGGCTTATGGCCTTGGGTCAAGGTTGCGGTTACACTCAAGCTTTCCTTAAATGCTTTCGGGCTAACGCTTCGGGTTACCTATTACAGTCAGGATCATGTTTGACATTAGGATCGTAGTTAAACAAGGTTTTCCGAGGGGTTTACTTACTATATCCTTGCCGGCAGATGCAGTATTAAATGCTCTGCAATAAAAATGTACTCAAGAAAAACACCGAGGACGAAAACGCGAAAATGTCCGATAAGTGAGTAGATTTAATTCTCAGAAATACACTATGCCTGCTTTGGGGGTTTGATTTATATAGCGAATTTTTGCTTGTTATTTTATTACCTATTATTTCATTTAAAACACAAACGGTCATAAAACATGTATCAAGTCATAAACAAACTTGAGTGACACCCGGTAGTTTTAGATAATTACGTGCCTAGTGACACTTATTAAACAGACACACTTGAACGTAGGTTTTGCAATCTCGAACTTCGATATTACAGCCTATATTTTCGCAAAGTCACAGTCTTATCAAAAATATAATGACTGAGTAATGAAATGCCTTACATTTATTGTCAACTGCTATACTTCGTAGAAGGAAACTCCGGCGGGTATGCAGTATGCTACTTCAGCCACAACGATATGTACAACTACCTACTTATTATGTGAAATTAGTGGCGTTCAGTTTGGTTTGTTTTGTTCGGCAGTCCGCCTGGGACTGAGCCCCCACTCCTCTCCTGAAGACGTAGGTTCCGAATCGAAGGGGGTTTTAAATAGCATCTTTGGCTGGAGAGGGTTCCGACTTGAGATCCGTCGGTCGGTTACCCGGGTTCATTGTCGATAATTTCCTACGTGAACTAAAGCTTCGAGTCACCTCATCGTACATCCATACAGAAACCTTTTGTAAACGACGAGGTTAAATTGGTTTTGCACTGGTAGGGATGGGTCCACTCTCGGTTACTCGTTTTCTATGGCAGATGTGCAGTCTAGAACAGCTTACTTCCGGTCAAGCCATCGGACCCTCATACTGAACATGTTACTACAAATCTGTCAATTTATACGGGCAATTTCTAATTTGTACATCCACTGAAATCAAAATTTAACTTTGTAATTCTTTCGGTAGAGTCGCTGCGAATTCCGCATCCTCAGAATGACTGCACTATTTAATATTCACAACGCACTAAAGACACATGCTAGAACAAACCCGAAATTAGCTAACATGGTACATTCCCATAAACCTTCTCCGATCTTTACACTTATTATTTGTGAACATTAGAAATAACTTTTAGATGTGTATGGATAGAGTCCTAGGTTTTCCTTGCCTTTACAATTCAGGCAGTTGCTACATCAACACATATAATAGAGAAGACTAAAGCTTGCAGAAATCACCAATCACTTCTTAAGTCTCTACATTTTAAAATATTCACCAGGCTAGGAGGTCGTGAACTTGGTGAATCATACGCGTTGCTCAGCGTAATAACTCACGAAAAAATAGGGTAAGCAGGCCAAAACACTGAATATAAAAGAGAAGCAAATGCGACTGCTTCACTGCGTTGGCAGGAGTTTTCCGTTAGCGCGCGTGCACCTGTTACAGTCCGTGGGAACTATGAACTGTCGTCGGCTAGACGAGTCAGCAACGTGGGACTTGCGCGAGACGACGTTGGTGCAAAAGGACTGCTTTGTAGTATACCGGAAAATTGTGTTTGCTCTATTTTTCAAAAACTGGATTAGGAAACAGAGCTGTCCTGTCATGACGACCCAAAATTTGTTTTTTTTTTTGAAATGGTGGCTGATGTAGACAGCAGTGCATATGAAGCACATAGGAATGGCAAACACGTCCAGACGAATTAATTGCAACGTGTCACATGTCTAACAAAAAATTTAGATGATTTGCACATGAATTAGCTTATGGTGATACTTAACTTGCACAGCATCTGCCACACACTCTGCTCCTCCCCCACCTGGGCCCGGTTTCAAGACAGAGTCAAGAAGACCAGAGGTGGAGAAGGGCGCAGGTGGATAGCACGGTCTAGCCCGCACCTTGACGTTCCACTCCACACCCCTGGTCCATACGAGAAATAACCAGGTTTCTGACTAACAATAACAATGTGGGTTATCGAGGTCCCAGTGTGCGCGACGGCTGCCGGACACCGGGTCCGGCACCGTACCCAGAAATGTTGGCATTTGTTACGGTGCACAAAGCCGATAACGCCTACCAGAGTTCAATATGGCTCCGCGTTGATCTAACGCATTTAGCGCGTGGCACGTTTGATGTGAACTCACACAAACAGGGGCACTTGAATTCTTCCCTTTTGCGTAATCCAAACAATCTAGCCCTTTGGAAATTATAACACCCACGAGCCTCCCTTGAGAGACCAAACGTATGGCAGCGATATCTTTGCATATATTATTAAAGTATATTAACATGGGTTTGCCCATTGAGTCTAGTTGGCAAAATTACCGATGGACGTGCAGTTGGGAGCAGTTCAGAAGAAGGTGCAATGACAGGAACAAGACGTTTATTGGTATGACGTCTTAAATTCTTAATCCAACCCATAATCAAAGACTCTTACAGACAAAGGTAATCGAGGCTGTAGAAGTGCAGTAATAATGGAACGTAGCTGCCGTGGGATCACATGCTTCCTATGGTTATCAGCTCTCGAAATCACCGCTGAGGCCTCGGATCGATGTGATGACACCTTGTCAGGCACAGCCCGAGTCGTTAATTGTTGCGCCTTTCGTCATCCGTGTTAGGTGTTGGTGTGATGATTACTCGGCAATTGGACCCGATGCCACTGGAATCGTTGCTCGTCTGCGGCCTCCACTCGTGATTGATTCCCCTGCTCAGGGAACATTTCATCACCGCTTATGGTAAAGGGAGGTAATCACGCTTGTTGTTGGACTGCGGGCCTGAGAACCATGAGTCCAACAGCTCTGGGGCCACGAGCTAGCCTTTTGAAACATGAAAATGTGGCCGGATGCCATCTTTTCACATTACTGCTGCTACGTGCCCGACCACACGTGTCCCGAGTAATCTCCCAGTTTCTCTGCCATAGTTGCTGTATCCGCTGATGCACCGGACGCGGTAAACTAATTCAGACGCTTCCTGTCTTGACAACTGGTCTTTCGGCCTCATGACTTGGCGTCTGAACGTCGCCTCTGGCGTAACCCCAACTCCGAGTGCAGTCAGAAGGCGACCGGCGACTTCCCAGGAATTATTCAAGTATGGAGGAGCAGGCCAAAACTTACTGCCAGTTGGATGTGTCCTTCCGTGGTAGTTATAGTACGCATTCCGTCGCACGCAGTGATTGTCTCTGATGATGGGATCGAATGAGAATTCGAAACGTCAGGCGAATATACCTGTTCCTGTGGCTGTATCTTCTTCTTCTTCTTCTTCTTCTTATTTTCTTGTTCCAGGAATAGCTCGTTTCTATCCTCGACAAATGCGACCGCTAGCTCTAACGTCCTATCCTCGTCCGTAGACTCAAGCTCGCCGCAGCACTCTGACTAGTCGAGTAAACTTCGTTTGATCCTGACTTTAAATATGAGATATTGTGAGGTCACACTGCGACAACGCTGGTGTTTTTGATAACACTTGGCTTTATTACTCGTCTTGAATGCAGAGTTTGTGTCCATACCTGAACATAGTATCTTTTTCATGACTTCTACATGAACTGTCTTCCTACGAGAAAAACGACTCGATAATTACCTATTGCATGCAAGGTGTAAGGAAAACTTCCACCCCATTTGTGGACTGCAGACGTGGACATTCCTCTTTTGAAGTCCCGCATGTGCTTTGCACTAGACTTTCAGCCCACGTCTCCCTCCCCATCATCGCTTTCCCTACTCAGGGAACGTCTTAGCACCGTTTGTGGTAAAGAGAGCTCATTACGCTTGTTAATGGACTGTTGGCCTGAGACCCATGACTCGAGCAGCTCGCAGATAACGCAGTTACCTATAACAAGGAGTTCGGCCTCTTGAAAGTTGAAAACGTGGTCTGATTCCGTCTTTTTACATTGCTACTGCTACGTGCTCGACCATTGATTTCCGGAGTAATCCACCAGTTTATCTGCCATAGTTGCTGTATCTGTTAGTGTACCAGACGTAGCAAACGACTGCAGACGTTCATTGTCTTAACAGCTGGTCTTTCGGCCTCATAACCTGTCGCCTGAAAGTTGCCTCGCGTGTAACATAAACTCCGATTGAACCGGCTATCGATGCTACCTCCAAGTACAGAAGAGCATGCCAAAACCTAGTTCCAGTTGGATTTGGTCTCCATGGAATATACGGTACGCATGCCATCCCACACATCGACTGTTTCTGATAATGGCATCGAATGAGAATCCTAAACGTCAGGCCAAAATGCCTAGTCCTGTGATCGCATCTTCTTTTTCTTCTAGTTAAAGCTCATTAACATCCTCGTCATATGCGACCGCTAGGCCTGAATTCATACTGTCGTCCAGAGGCTTAAACTCGCTGCAGCCTTCTAACTAGTAGA